TGGCTGCTACTTCCCGGAGGATGTCAGGTGGTGCAATACCGGCTAAGCAGTGTAATTTCTCCAGTGGTGTAGGGCGCAGACACCCCGTGATAATGCGGCATGTCTCATTAAGAGCCACATCCACTGTTTCAGTGTGGTGAGATGTGTTCCACACTGGGCATGCATACTCAGCAACAGAGTAGCATAGTGCAAGGGCAGATGTCTTCATTGTGTCTGGTTGTGATCCCCAGGTTGTCTTCATAGACCTGTTAGCGGCTTATGATACTGTAAACCACCACCTCCTCCTGAGAAAAATGTATAATATCACAAAGAATTACCACCTCACTCGCTTCATAGGAAACCTGCTACAAAACAGGAGCTTTTTTGTTGAGTTCCAGGGCCAGAGAAGCAGAGGGCGGAAACAGAAGAACGGCCTGCCTCAGCCTAAAACAAGGGTTGAAAAACAAGGGTTGAAAAACTAGGCTTATACTCGAGTATATACAGTATATTCAGAGAAGAGGATGCCGCTGAGTGGAGGAGAGGGAGAAAGGCAGTGGGATGCTTGATGAGCTTCTAGCAAAAGCAAAGGAGCATGACAGAGCTTGTCCCTCCTCAGTGGAGAAGCTGGCTTGCTCTTATGTGTCTGGCAGCCTGGCTGATTGCTTTCGCGAACATGGAGTGAGTTGGACCGCAGCTGTTTCTGCACCACACCCAGACTGGACGGCTTCCAGAGGGAGACTGCCAGCATTGCTTTACCACATGCTGGCTTTGCCTTGGGAGGCAGGGAGTTGGGTTCTCCTTCCCTGGATGTGCTGAAAAACAAGAGAGAAAGGAGCCAGGTCTACCCATGAAAGAGGAAGATACTCCTTCCCCAGCCTTTCAGATGTAGCAAGTCACCTCCAGATTAGATTACTGTAATGCACTCTACGTGGGGCTGCCCTTGAAGACGTCCTGGAAATTCCAATTGGTACAATGGGTGGCAGCCAGGTTAGTAACTGACTTACAGGGAGCAGTCTACCCCCCTGTTTAAGGAGCTCCACTGGCTGCCATTCATTTTCCGGTCCCAATTCAAGGTGCAGGTTCTTACCTTCAAAGCCCTGAACGGTTTGGGACCCGCCTACCTGCGTGACCGCATTTCCGTGTACAAACCCGCACGGTCTCTTCGTTCATCTGGAGAGGCCCTGCTCGTGCTCCCGCCTCCTTGGTGGGGACGAGGGAGAGGGCCTTCTCAGTGGTGGCCCCCTGACTCTGGAACACCCTCCCTAAGGACATCAGACAAGCCCCAACGATGGCAGTCTTAAGGAAGAGCTTGAAGACTTGGCTATTCCAGTGTGCCTTTCCAGAATAGGAAACTCCAGCAACATGTCCCAGAAGCACTTTATTAGAGATTTAAGATTGTCCGCACATTGCACTTACCCAAATGTCTTATATTCCACTGTCATACTCAGCACTTTTAATCTGTACCCACTTGGCCCGGCCTAGTTTTACTGTGTTACGGTGTACTGGTTTTATTGTTTACCGTTATTGCTTTAATGTTTCGATTTGCGTTGTGGTTTATGTGTATTTGTTATATTGTTGTTTTATTGAGGCCTCGGCCTTTGTAAGCCGCATCGGGTCCTTCGGGAGATGCTAGCGGGGTACAAATAAAGTTAATAATAATGTTTACTGCTTGTTTTTTGTTTATGAGTTTCAATTTATTGTTTTGTATTGCTGTTGTTGTTGTTTTTGCTGATGTGTTGTGGGCTCAGCCTCATGTAAGCCGCACCGTGTCCCTTGGGGAGATGGTAGCGGGGTACAAATAAAGTTTTATTATTATTATTATTATTATTATTATTATTATTTTGCAAATAATTTTTTATTAAAGTATCATAAACTACAGCGAAAGAGGGAGAATAATTTGGAAAAGATAGAAAAGTAGGAAATTTATAGACAAAGATATAACACAGAAAAATAAAAAGTGTCCAAAAAAATTAATATGAACCAACAAAACCAAAAATAAAAATTCTGATAATAAAAAAACCACATTAAAAAGTGTCCAAAATTATAATGTGAAAACATGGAAAAAATAAAAAAAGAGAAAAAGAAAAAATAATTAAAAATTGGACTTCCTTCTGAATTTGCCCGTACATTCTCTTTTTGTCAAACCCTTTTATGTATTCAACCTTGTGTATTTTTATTTTCGCTTCTAATTAATTAAAGGTCCTTAGACCTGTTTTCAATATAAACTTCAATTATTGACCAGTTTGTCTGTTTTATTGGATTGCCTGTATTCATTTTTAATAAAAAAAAGTTAATGTGTCCATGTCCTTAATCTCATTTATCTTCTTTACCCATTGGAATTTCGCCGGTACTGCTTTCTGCTTTCATAATTGCGCAAATATTATTCTGGCAGGCGTTGTTAAATAAATGAATAAAATATCTTTGTTTGTATCTAAACTTATTTCTCCATCTACAATTTCCAATAGATAATATTATTATAGGTCAACAGTGAGCAGGGATGACAATCGGCGGCTCATGCCGACCCGGGGCTTTGAACCTGCAACCTTTCGGTTGGTAGATCTTACAGTTGTTGATGATTTACCAGCTGTGCTAAACTTGCCTGCTCATTCTTAAAGCTGTTGCAATGCTAGTTAATATCTGTTCCTAGAGCATTATTTTTGCTCAGCAGAGAGGTCACTTCCTCTGTCGGCATAAAGTCTCCGTTCCAATCTCCAGCAGGGCTGAGAACGACACTTCTGCCCGAAGAGATTGTGAAGCATGGACAACACAACGGATGGCCTCAAAGAGAAATATTTCCAGTGCAGAGTCACGGAATATTTCTACTCTGATTTTCTCATTCAGTACATAGTGTTTAGTTCCTCACGGTGCCAATAGAACAGCATCATCCAGAGTTCCTTTCTTGGGAGACGGAGAGCGACAGCTGTTTGAAGCATTGACTGATGCCCAAGGAGGTGGTCCTTTCTGATGCAAACTGTATTTGTGGTACTTTCACTTCCTTGAGTGCATGTAAACTCCATAGCACTGTGATAGAATCATAGAATCAAAGAGATGGAAGAGACCTCATGGGCCATCATCCAATCCAACCCCATTCTGCCAAGAAGCAGGAATATTGCATTCAAAGCACCCCTGTCAGATGGGCATCCAGCCTCTGTTTAAAAGCCTCCAAAGAAGGAACCTCCCCCGCACTCCGGGCAGAGAGTTCCACTGCTGAACAGCTCTCACAGTCAGGAAGTTCTTCCTCGTGTTCAGATGGAATCTCCTCTCTTGTAGTTTGAAGCCATTGTTCCAGCGTCCTAGTCTCCAGGGAAGCAGAAAACAAGCTTGCTCCCTCCTCCCTGTGGCTTCCTCTCACATAGTTATACATGGCTATCATATCTCCTCTCAGCCTTCTCTTCTTCAGGCTAAACATGCCGAGCTCTTTAAGCCGCTCTTCATAGGGCTGACGATGGTCTCTGTGGAGTCAAATCTAAATATGTTTCTTTCATGATGCCCAAGTCCTCCTCAGGGGACAATCAATTGGCCCAATCCCTTTACCTACATGACTCTCCCTTTGCCCAAGGCAGACTTGTTGGCAGCTGTTTGGAAAGGATTACATTCTAGGTCCCAGAAATAAAAGCTTTAGCAAACCAGAAATGAGAAGTGATTCACTCTCAACACTCTCAAGTCACCTAGCATAGAAAAGGTGTCTCTGAAGGTATTTTTATTATTATTATTATTTTTATTGTATTGTCAAAGGCTTTCATGGCCGGAATCACTGGGTTGTTGTAGGTTTTTTCGGGCTATGGCCATGGTCTAGAGGCATTCTCTCCTGATGTTTCGCCTGCATCTATGGCAAGCATCCTCAGAGGTAGTGAGGTCTGTTGGAAGTAGGAAAATGGGTTTATATATCTGTGGAATGACCAGGGTGGGACAAAGGACTTTTATCTGCTGGAGCTAGGTGTGAATGTTTCAACTGACCACCTTGATTAGCATTTGATTGCCTGGCAGTGCCTGGAGCAATCTTTTGTTGAGAGGTGATTAGATGTCCTTGTTTGTTTCCTCTCTGTTGTTGTGCTGTTCTAATTTTAGAGGTTTTTTAATACTGGTAGCCAGATTTTCATCATTTTCATTGTTTCCCCCTTTCTGTTTAAATTGTCCACATGCTTGTGGATTTCAATGGCTTCTCAGTATTAAAAAAAACTCTTACAAGGACATCTAAAAACTCTTACAAGGACAGTGGTTCTCCACCTGTGGGTCCCCAGATGTTTTTGGCCTTCAAATCCCAGAAATCCTAACAGCTGGTAAACTGGCTGGGATTTCTGGGAGTTGTAGGCCAAAAACATCTGGGAACCCAAGGTTGAGAACCACTGCTCTAGACCATGGCCATATAGCCCGAAAAAGCCTACAACAACCCAGTTACCAAGTTGTTTGCAAAAGTTGCACTGACAAAGAGTTGACTTCAAACAACCCGTTTAATATACTTTCCCAGCATGAACACATTCCGTTGACCTCTAACCTCCCTCTTATTAGCAAGCCTCACACTGCAGTGAACCCTGAATTGCAAGCGATCCTCCCTATCTAAATCTCCAGAGCCCTCAAGGTTGGAGAGCTCATTATTCGCCTGAGAATCACTCTCCTCCATTGACACCTGGGCAGTTTCACTAAAATCAGAGACATCTTCCAAAACATCCCTTGCCATGGGAAACTGAAACTCCTCATCTTCTGTATCAACATCTCCTGTATCAACTACAGGAACATGGTCAGGAATCTGAAACCCATGATCTTCGTCCTGAGGCTCCAGCTGAGCCACAACAGGAGTAGAGCAACTGCTTTGGGAGATGGTGGTCGGGCATTTGGACGATATGGCTGGTTCAGCGAAGTTGATGGTGGAGGACCATCGCTTCTTTGTTTCTTCCAAGATGCTGGCATTTGTCCACCTGTCTTCCCAAGAGATTTGCAGGATTTTTTTGGAGGCAATGCTGATGGAAGTTATGGCTTACCTGGATTCTCATAGCCCACTTTTGTTGTTTCTGTCATTTCAGGTAGGAAAGGGGGCCACAAAGGCCGAGCACGGCAATACACAAGCCCAGAGGAGATCGATGCCCAACTCCAAGCAGAGAAACAGAAGGCCAAGGTAAGTGTCATCCAAAGTGGTCTTAACAGTCATGAGGGTCAATGAGCCTTGCATTCCAACCTCCAGAGGATAGCAAGTGACCCATCCTGGGATAGTGGAGAAGGCTAAGTAGGCCTTCTTTCAGAGGCTTTTCCAACCTTTACTTTATTCTCCACACATGAGCATAACATTATCATTGACAATGGCTTCACCGAGGTGTTTTGTTTTTTTTATCATGTCAGGGGCAACCAGACCATTGTATTACATTTCTAACAGAACAAAACATACAAACAGACTAAAAACACACAAAGTTTGCAAGCTTGGTAGTTGAATAAATGTCCTTTGACCAGTATCTGGCCACTTGGAGTGCCTCTGGTGTTGCCGCAAGAAGGTCCTCCATTGTGCATGTGGCAGGGCTCAGGTTGCATTGCAGCAGGTGGTCAGTGGTTTGCTCTTCTCCACACTCGCATGTTGTGGATTCCACTTTGTAGCCCCATTTCTTGAGGTTGCCTCTGCATATCGTGGTGCCAGAGCGCAGTCTGTTCAGCGCCTTCCAAGTCGCCCAGTCTTCTGTGTGCCCAGGGGGGAGTCTCTCATTTGGTATCAGTCATTGATTGAGGTTCTCGGGTTTGAGCCTGCCACTTTTGGACTCTCGCTTGCTGAGGTGTTCCAGCGAGTGTCTCTGTAGATCTTAGAAAACTATTTCTTGATTTAAGTAGTTGGCATGCTAGCTGATACCCAAACGGGATGAACTGGAGATGTCTCTGCCTTGGTTCTTTCACTATTGGCTGCTACTTCCCGGTGGATGTCAGGTGGTGGAATACCGGCTAAGCAGTGTAATTTCTCCAGTGGTGTAGGGCGCAGACACCCCGTGATAATGCGGCATGTCTCATTAAGAGCCACATCCACTGTTTTAGTGTGGTGAGATGTGTTCCACACTGGGCATGCGTACTCAGCAGCAGAGTAGCATAGCCCAAGGGCAGATGTCTTCACTGTGTCTGGTTGTGATCCCCAGGTTGTGCCAGTCAGCTTTCGTATGATATTGTTTCTAGCACCCACTTTTTGCTTGATGTTCAGGCAGTGCTTCTTGTAGGTCAGAGCACGGTCCAGACTGACTCCCAGGTATTTGGGTGCGCTGCAATGCTCCAGTGGGATTCCTTCCCAGGTGATCCTCTGAGCTCGGGATGCTTGTCTGTTCTTAAGGTGAAAGGCACATGTCTGTGTTTTAGATGGGTTGGGGATCAGCTGGTTTTCCCTGTAATAGGCAGTAAGAGCACCTAGAGCTTCGGAGAGCTTCTGTTCAACCATCTCAAAGCTCCCTGCTTGAGCGGTGATGGCACGATCATCAGCATAGATGAAGCTCTCCGTCCCTTCTGGCAGTGGCTGGTCATTTGTGTAGATGTTGAACATGGATGGAGCAAGCACGTCTCCCCTGAGGCAGGCCGTTCTTCTGTTTCCGCCATCTGCTTCTCTGGCCCTGGAACTCAACAAAAAAGCTCCTGTTTTGTAGCAGGTTTCCTATGAGGCGGGTGAGGTGGTAATAATCCTTTGTGATATTATACATTTTTCTCAGGAGGAGGCTGGTGGTTCACAGTCTCATAGGCTGCTGACAAGTCTATGAAGACAGCTCCTGTGATCTGCTGCCTTTCAAAGCCATCTTCTATGTGCTGAGTCAGGTTCAGCACTTGCGATGTGCAGCTTTTGCCTTTCCTGAAGCCAGCTTGCTGTGGAATCAGACAGGGGTCTATTTTTCTAATTCTACGCAAAATAAGTCTCTCCAGAACTTTGTAGAGGTGTAATAGGTTTATTTATAACCTGCCCTATCTCCCTGAGGGGGCTCAGGGCTACCTTCTCTTCTCCCAGCTCAACATCCCCGAGGAGGAAAAGAGAAGAAAAGAAGAAAGAAAGGGAGGAAGAGAAGGATGGAAGGAAGGGAGGGAGGGAAGGAGAGAGCGAGAAAGAGAGGGAAGGAGGAGAGGGAAGAAGAAGGAAAAGGAAGGGAGGAGAGAAGGGGGGGAGGGAGGGGAGGAAAGAAGGAAAGATGGTGAGAGGGAGGAGGGCCTGAGAAAAGAGCCCAAGGGGCCACATCCAGCCCCCCGGACTGTGTTTACTCATACCAGCTCTGTACTGTCTTCATACTGATAGTCCTCCTTCTATCACAGGAGGAAGAGGAGGAAGAGGAAGGAGGTGACGGGGCAACAGGTGAACCCAAAAAGAAGGAGAAATCGCTAGATTCAGATGAAAGCGAGGAGGAGGAAGATGAAGACTACCAGGTACCAAAAAGGTTTTCCTCCTATTTCATGAATATTCAGATCACATGCTGCTCACCTTGGGTTACTCTGTTCAGAGGCTGACTTTCATGATGTTTTCTTTCTTTTTAAAATCATTTTAATACTGTAATGCACGACTGCATTTCCGTCTACGAACCCACACGACCTCTTCCAGAGAGGCCCTTCTCTCGCTCCCGCCCGCATCGCAAGTGCAACTTTTGGGGACGAGAGAGAGGGCCTTCTCTGTGGTGGCCCCCTGGCTCTGGAATCCACTCCCCAGAGATATTAGGCAAGCCACCACGCTGGCAGTCTTCAGGAGGAATCTGAAAACCTGGTTATTCCAGTGCGCCTTCAGTGATTGAATGTAAGACACTCCCTGACCAAACTTTGCATCAATGACCTCAGAAGCACTTTACTTTATGGTTCGTGCAATTAAATCCTTCCTCATCCCCAAATCCCCCTCTCCGACGATTTTTTTAAATTTTTAAAAGTGTTTTAAAATTTTTATCTTTGAATTTGGCCCTGCCCAGTCTAATCTTTTGTGTTTTAATGTTTGATTTTATATTGCTGTGTCGTTTATTATTTTGCTTTATCGTTTTATGTATTTTATTTTCTGGTTTTGTTTTGCTTTTGTGTTATATCGTGTCTATTGTACTGATGGGCGTGGCCTCATGTGAGCCGCCCCGAGTCCCCCTGGGGGACATATAAATAAAGTTTTATTAGTATTATATTATTATGATTATTATTGTTGTTGTTATTATTATTATTAATGTTCTTGGCTGATTTGTGTATTTTTCCCCATTGATTTACACCACTGTAAAATTTGGGTTCTAAGCAGTGCATTCTCTCTCTCTCCTCTCTCTTTCTCTCTCACACACACACACACATCTTATACAGTTTGGGTGTCCTCTTGGACTCATCACTTACGCTTGAGGCTCAGGCGTCGGCGGTGGCCAGGGAGGGCCTTTGCACAATTGAGATTCATGCGCCAACTGCGACTGTACCTCATGAAGGCGGATGTGGCCGGGGTAGTCCATGCCTTAGTCACCTCTAGATTGGACTACTGTAATTTACTTTATGTGGGGCTGCCCTTGAAAACGGCTCGGAAATTTCAGCTAGTCCAACGGGCGGCAGCCAGGATGTTAACTGGTGCTCCTTACAGAGAGAGGTCAACCCTCCTGTTTAAGGAGCTCCATTGGCTGCCGTTCATTTTCCGGTCCCAATTCAAGGTGCAGGTGCTCACCTACAAAGCCCTAAACGGTTTGGGACCCGCCTACCTCCCGCATCTACTTATATGAACCCACACGATCTCTCCGATCATCTGGAGAGGCCCTGCTCACGATCCCACCTGCGTCGCAAGTGCGATTGGTGGGGACGAGTGACAGGGCCTTCTCCGTGGTGGCCCCTCGACTCTGGAACTCATTCCCTAAGGACATCAGGCATGCCCCAACTCTGGCAGTCTTTAGGAGGAGCTTGAAGATGTGGTTGTTCCAGTGTGAACTCCCAGCATCATGTCCCAAATGCACTTTACTAGAGATTTAAGATTGTCTGCACACCGCACCTATCTCCAAAAACCTATCCATCTCACCTGTCATGTCCAGCATTTTTAAAATTTTAATTATTACATTTGGCCCAGCCTTAGTTTTAAATGCGTAGTGGTGTTATTGTCTAATGTTTTGTTGCTATTGTTTTAATGTTTATTGCTTTGCATTATGAGTTTATTTATTGTTGTATTTGTTATGCTGTTGTTTTATTGATGTGTTGGGCCTTGGCCTCTTGTAAGCCGCACTGAGTCCTTCGGGGTATAAATAAAGGATTATTATTATTATTATTATTATTATTATTATTATTATACTGGGTAATAGGGAAGGTTATCTTGGAACTTGGAATAATAAACTTTCCTCCATCCAAGCCGCTTTTGGACATGGTGGGAGTTTTCTTTTGCATTGTGGGTCACACAAGCGCTGATAGCTTGGACCACGAGGGATCCAGCAGTTCACTAAACCATACATCCATCTTAGATCCTCATATTTTACTGATGCGAACCCAACTGAGTCTTGTAGGGCAAGGTCTTTCTTGCATGGTGATGTCTTCAATTTTGCTCAAACTGCTGCGTGCACATCACGGTAGTATCCACTAACGCGTTACCCCTGTTTGGCGTCTCCCATTTTAGCCAAAGCACAAAGGAGTGGAAGGCATGATCGACATAGAGAATCCCAATCGTGTTGCACAGACGGCCAAAAAAGTCACTCAGATAGACATGGAGAGCCCCAGGGAATTGTCGCGAAGAGAGCGGTAAGAGGCTTCTGTCATTCTTGTCTGGTGGTTCGCAAACGGTGTCCTGTGGGGTGCTTTGGGGTGGCCGGCCAAATCACCACAAGTGGTTTGCATGTTTTCCAGAGATGCAAGAGACAGTTCTGGCCCCGCAGTGCAGATTTGGGCTGTCTTGCTATGCAATTCCCTTGTGGAGTGCCTCATACTAACCACGGAGACCTTTTTCAGCCAATGGTCCTTGGGGCTGGAGATCGCATTCTTGAGTGCACGTCAAATGTGACAGCCCTGAGCTGTGGCTTCTTCCCACTCACATCAAATAAGCCCTCTTTTTCTAAGCAAAGCCTTGCCGAAACAAGATTATATTTTCCTATTTAGCCCAGCGCTGTTTCACACAGCGATGAAGCATATGCCTCAAGGAAGCACCGGGATAGTGGCGCAGCTGGCTGAGTGTCAGCTGCATTAAGATCACTCTGACCAAAAAGGTCAAGAGTTCGAAGCCAGCCCGGGTTGGAGTGGGTTTCCAGCCAATTGTGTGTAGCCTGTTGTTGACCTTTGCAACCCGAAAGACAGTTGCATCTGTCAAGTAGGAAAATAAGGTACCACCTTAAAAAAGTGTGGGGATGCTAAATTAACTGATTTATGAGGCCATAAAGAAGACTCCGGCAAAGCATTCCAGCGGGGAAGCATGCGGGGAATGCGGAAGTGCTTCATCAGTGTCGCAGATGGACAATGAAAGCGACAGCTCCCCTGGCGGCCAGAAAAAGTTAAATAGCCTCTGTGTATGTCTGTATATGTTTGTATGTCAAAAATTGGCATTGAATGTTTGCCATATATGTGTACATTATAATCCGCCCTGAGTCCCCTGCGGGGTGAGAAGGGCGGAATATAAAAGCTGTAAATAAAGAAATAAGAAAGCCCACAATCAAGGCTTGAAAGTCAGCAAACCGTTCCCTGATTTTGCTCAAGTCTCAATTCCCCATCATCTGAGGAAATAAATACTTCTCTAACTATACAGACATCTATAAATACTGTGTCAATACACAAATGTCCTATTGCTATAAACTTCAGCAAAAATACCAATTTGAATAATGAGGAAAATACCAAACTAACTCGTATAGTACACAAGCATGGGAAACAAACACAAAGGGACTATTTACAACAGTGTAACAAACATAATATTCATGTATTGTCGAAGGCTTTCATGGCCGGAATCACTGGTTGTTGTAGGTTTTTTCGGGCTGTATGGCCATGGTCTAGAGGCATTTCTCCTGATGTTTTGCCTGCATCTATGGCAAGCATCCTCAGAGGTAGCGAGGTCTGTTGGAACTAGGAAGAAGGGTGGAATGACCAGGGTGGGACAAAGGACTCTTGTCTGCTGGAGCTAGGTGTGAATGTTTCAACTGACCACCTTGATTAGCATTTGATGGCCTGGCAGTGCCTGGAGCAATCTTTTGTTGAGAGGTTATTAGATGTCCTTGTTTGTTTCCTCTCTGCTGTTTTGCTGTTGTAATTTTAGAGTTTTTTTAATACTGGTAGCCAAATTTTGTTCATTTTCATGGCTTCCTCCTTTCTGTTGAAATTGTCCACATGCTTGTGTATTTCAATGGTTTGTCTGTGTAGTCTGACATGGTGGTTGTGAGAGTGGTCCAGCATTTCTGTGTTCTCAAACATTCACACCTAGCTCCAGCAGACAAGAGTCCTTTGTCCCACCCTGGTCATTCCACAGATATATAAACCCTTTTTCCTAGTTCCAACAGACCTCACTACCTCTGAGGATGCTTGCCATAGATGGAGGTGAAACGTCAGGAGAGAATGCCTCTAGAACATGGCCATACAGCCCGAAAAAACCTACAACAACCCAGTGATTCCGGCCATGAAAGCCTTTGACAATACACGGAGATCTTTTTCTGCTGGAGCTAGGTGTGAATGTTTCAACTGACCACCTTGATTAGCATTTGATGGCCTGGCAGTGCCTGGGGCAATCTTTTGTCGAGAGGTGATTAGATGTTTGTTTCCTCTCTGTTGTTGTGCTGTTGTAATTTTAGAGTTTTTTTAATACTGGCAGCCAGATTTTGTTCATTTTCATGAAGCAATTGAAATCCACAAGAAGCATGTGGACAATTTCAACAGAAAGGAGGAAACCATGACCCTATTTTAGTTCTCGAAGACCACCGTTGGTCCACGGACCACAGGTTGGGAACCACTGGTGTATGCACATATGAAAAGGGGAAAATAAAAGGCCATTGGTGCGTGTCTATGTAGCAAAAAAACAAACAAACCCGACACTCACAAAATTGCCAGGTATTTTCCCCCTTCACTGATTTGCTTTCACCAAACAGGGAAGAAATTGAAAAACAGAAAGCGAAAGAGCGATACATGAAGATGCATCTCGCTGGCAAAACGGAACAGGCCAAGGCCGATCTCGCCCGGTTAGCTATCATCCGGAAACAGAGGGAAGAGGCAGCGAAAAAGAAAGAGGAGGAGAGGAAAGGTAAGGCGTCCCGACCCCAATGCTTGGCTTGATTGAAAGGGGGGTGGCCTTGGTCTGATGTTTGAGCCTCTTTGGAACGAGAGCATCTCCCTTACAATATGCAAAATGATTTGTTTATAATTCTAATCCTTGAATCTGGCCCTGCCCGTGGTGATCACTTTAATGTCATGTTTTGATTTGGTTTTGTATTTTAGGTTATTTTATTTTTTGGTTTTCTGTTGTGTTTTTATGTTATACTAGCTGTCCCCTACCACGCGTTGCTGTGGCCCAGTCTGTGTATATGTGTTTGTGTGTGTATATATATGTGTGTGCATGCATATTGTGTATATGTGTGTGCTTGCTTGTCTATATGCATATTTGTGTGTATATATGTGTATGTATGTGTATATGTGTATATATGTGTGTGTGTGTGCGCGCATGAATGTGCGCATGTGTATGTATATGTGTGTATATATGTATTTGTCTGTGCATGTGTATATATGTGTGTATGTATATGTATGTGTGTGTTTGTGCGCATATATATATATATATATATATGAATGTGTGCATGTGTATGTATATGTGTGTATATATGTATTTGTCTGTGCATGTGTATATATGTGTGTATGTATATGTATGTGTGTGTTTGTGCGCATATATACAGTATATTCTGGCGTATAAGACTACTTTTTAACCCAAGAAAATCTTCTCAAAAGTCAGGGGTCGTCTTATACGCGGGTGTAGTCTTATGCATGGGAGTTGTCTTAACTCTATATTTTAACTGGAAAAGTTGGGGGTCGTCTTATACGCCCAGTCGTCTTATATGCCGGAATATACGGTATGTGTGTGTGTGTGTGTGTGTGTGTATATATATATATATATATATGAATGAATGTGTGCATGTGTATGTATATATGGTGTATTTTTTGGGTTTTTACATCTGCTCCGCTGAGGTTTTGTGTGTGTGTGTGTTTTTAGGGGTGATGGACACTCGTTGGACTGTTAGGTGTCTTGTGTCCAAATTTGGTGTCAATTTGTCCAGTGGTTTTTGAGTTACGTTAATCCCACAAACAAACGTTACATTTTTGGGTTGTGCTAGGTTTTTTCGGGCTATATGGCCATGGTCTAGAGGCATTTTCTCCTGACGTTCGCCTGCATCTATGGCAAGCATCCTCAGAGGTAGTGAGGTCTGTTGGAACTAGGAAAAAGGGTTTATATATCTGTGGAATGACCAGGGTGGGACAAAGGACTCTTGTCTGTTGGAGCTAGGTGTGAATGTTTCAACTGACCACCTTGATTAGCATTTGATGGCCTGGCAGAGCCTGGAGCAATCTTTTTATTATTATTATTGTTTAAATATTTTTAATATTTTAATGTATTGTTGTTTGTTTTATTATAATGACACGGTATGGTGTTTGTGAGGCTTTCCTGAGCCCCCCCCCCCCTCAGAAGGGCGGGGTATAAATATAGGAAATGAATAAAACAATAAATAAATTTCCTGGCTAGGCCGCTGTCCGTAATGCAGCCGCTTTCAACTCCGTTCTCCTTCTCTATCCTGGTCATATTTATTTATTTAGAACTTTTATATACCGGTCTTCTCACCTCCAACAAGGGACTCAGGCCGGTTTACAACAAGGGGGAACAATAGTTTAAAAACACCACGTCAATTTATTTATTTATCGTGTCATCCGCAACCAGAACATTGTATTACATTTCTAACAGAACAAAACAAACAAACAGATAAAAAAACACAATTTTTGCAAACTTGGTAGTTGATTAAATGTCCTTTGACCAGTATCTGGCCACTTGGAGTGCCTCTGGTGTTGCTGCAAGAAGGTCCTCCATTGTGCATGTGGCAGGGCTCAGGTTGCATTGCAGCAGGTGGTCAGTGGTATGCTCTTCTCCACACTCGCATGTCGTGGATTCCACTTTGTGGCCCCATTTCTTGAGGTTGGCTCTGCATCTCGTGGTGCCAGAGCGCAGTCTGTTCAGTGCCTTCCAAGTCGCCCAGTCTTCTGTGTGCCCAGGGGGGAGTCTCTCATCTGGTATCACCCACGGATTGAGGTGCTGGGTTTGAGCCTGCCACTTTTGGACTCTCACTTGCTGAGGTGTTTCAGCGAGTGTCTCTGTAGATCTTAGAAAACTATTTCTTGATTTAAGTCGTTGACGTGCTGGCTGATACCCAAACAAGGGATGAGCTGGAGATGTCTCTGCCTTGGTCCTTTCACTATTGGCTGCTACTTCCCGGCGGATGTCAGGTGGTGGAATACCGGCTAAGCAGTGTAATTTCTCCAGTGGTGTAGGGCGCAGACACCCCGTGATAATGCGGCATGTCTCATTAAGAGCCACATCCACTGTTTTAGTGTGGTGAGATGTGTTCCACACTGGGCATGCATACTCAGCAGCAGAGTAGCATAGCGCAAGGGCAGATGTCTTCACTGTATCTGGTTGTGATCCCCAGGTTGTGCTAGTCAGCTTTCGTATGATATTGTTTCTAGCGCCCACTTTTTGCTTGATGTTCAGGATAATAATAATAATAATAATAACAATAACACATGGCAAGGGACGGCTAGTAATAAATACATTTCCTGGCTAGGACGCTGTCCGTAATGCATCCGCTTTCACTTCCGTTCTCCTTCTCCCCTCCCCTTTGTTTATCTCTCAAGCTAAAGACGACGCAACTTCGACAGGCAAAAGACTGCAGTCGCTGTCCCTGAACAAGTAAGTGCCGGCCGCCGGAGAGGAGAGGGGAGCTTGCAGGGACGCTGCCTGGCCGGCCACCCCCCCGCCGGGCGCTCTGCCGCACCCCAACCCGCACGGGGAGGCCGCACGGGGAAGCGCACCGCGTGCCGCGGGGCGACGTCTCCACACTTTTAAAGAGACACTGACAGCAACACGTTTGTCTTCTTCTTCTTCTTCATCTGGGCACAGGATTCCATGGGGAGGTTGGGCGGGGGCGGTGGGGTGGGTTGTGGGAGGCAATGGGAGGAGGGCTGGGTTTGGGGAAATATTAATCTGTTTTGGTGCAGCATCGCCAGGGAACCGTAATTCTCCGTTCCTGGTCGGACACCGTAAACACAGAACGGTTTCAGATCGGAGATCTCATAATCCCGGGGAGAGGCGGGAGGGTACCTTTTGGCAAGAAACTTGGGCAAAAACCTATAGTTGGTAATATTGACAGGTATAGAAAGACAGACACAATTCCAGTAGTTTTGGCAAGAAACTTGGGCAAAAACCTATAGTTGGTAATATTGACAAGTATAGAAAGACACATTTCCACAATTCCAAAGTACTGGGGGCTGTTTGTGGATCTGACCGCAGAGAGGCCCATAGTAAACAAAGCCTTATTATGTGGCTATTTGGGTCTCTACTCCCACTTTACATCCTCCCTTCGCCTATTTTGTTTTTCCAAAGCCATCCCAAATTGTGTTCCTTCTCCTCCCAAAAAAAAGGGGGATAGTGGCTTTTTAACCGCAAAACAAAACCAGAGAACTCTTTTCTCGATTGTGTGACCTTGTTGGAAGAGATTCAAATTGGAAGCAAAACGTGTATATTTGGCTGAATAAAGTTTAAATTATCGTAAACAGTCCGGATTGTGTTCTCTATCTAACAAGGTGTCCCGTCACGGCCTTCTCAGTGAAAATGGAGGTTAAGCTCATTCTTAGATGGGTGTTGGGTTCATATTGTCGGTCTTGTGATGTTGTGGTTAAGTGTGATGTTGTGGTTAAGGGCACAAAAAGGGTCCCATAAAAAGGACAAATTAGTCTTGCCAGAATATAAGCTGAGGCACCTATGCAGGTGCCATCTGCCCACTTTCTGCATCTTCATTGCTCAGCAAACCTCCCAAAAAATTGGGTAACCGAGAAAAGCGTGATTACCGTATATACTCGAGTATAAGCCGACCCGAATATAAGCTGAGGCACCTATGCAGGTGCCATCTGCCCACTTTCTGCATCTTCATTGCTCAGCAAACCTCCCAAAAAATTGGGTAACCGAGAAAAGCGTGATTACCGTATATACTCGAGTATAAGCCGACCCGAAATATAAGCTGAGGCACCTATGCAGGTGCCATCTGCCCACTTTCTGCATCTTCATTGCTCAGCAAACCTCCCAAAAAATTGGGTAACCGAGAAAAGCGTGATTACCGTATATACCCGAGTATAAGCCGACCCGAATATAAGCTGAGGCACCTATGCAGGTGCCATCTGCCCACTTTCTGCATCTTCATTGCTCAGCAAACCTCCCAAAAAATTGGGTAACCGAGAAAAGCGTGATTACCGTATATACTCAAGTATAAGCCGACCCGAATATAAGCTGAGGCACCTATGCAGGTGCCATCTGCCCACTTTCTGCATCTTCATTGCTCAGCAAACCTCCCAAAAAATTGGGTAACCGAGAAAAGCGTGATTACCGTATATACTCAAGTATAAGCCGACCCGAATATAAGCTGAGGCACCTATGCAGGTGCCATCTGCCCACTTTCTGCATCTTCATTGCTCAGCAAACCTCCCAAAAAATTGGGTAACCGAGAAAAGCGTGATTACCGTATATACTCAAGTATAAGCCGACCCGAATATAAGCTGAGGCACCTATGCAGGTGCCATCTGCCCACTTTCTGCATCTTCATTGCTCAGCAAACCTCCCAAAAAATTGGGTAACCGAGAAAAGCGTGATTACCGTATATACCCGAGTATAAGCCGACCCGAATATAAGCTGAGGCACCTATGCAGGTGCCATCTGCTCACTTTCTGCATCTTCATTGCTCAGCAAACCTCCCAAAAAATTAGGTAACCGAGAAAAGCATGATTACCGTATATACTCAAGTATAAGTCGACCCGAATATAAGCTGAGGCACCTAATTTTAGCACAAAAAACTAGGGAAACGTATTGACTCGAGTCTAAGCCGAGGATGGGAAATGCAAGTGGTCAGTTTCAAAATAAAAATAGATACCTATAAAATTGCATTATTTGAGACACCCGTAGGTTAACTATTTTTGAATATTTACATAAAACTAAGTAAGGTAAGACTGTCCAAGCATTCCAGACTGATTTCTTTTATTTTTTATTAATTTATTATTATATTTATTATTACACTTATTACTTTACTCTATTATTATTATTACATTTGTTGTTTTACTCTATTTTATTATTACATGTATGAATATTTACATAAAACTAAGGTAAGGCTGTCCAACCATTCAAGACTGATTTCTTTTTTATTATTTTATTTTATTATTTTATTATATTTATTATTTTACTCTATTATTACACTTATTACTTTACTCTATTTTATTATTACATGTATGAATACATAAAACTAAGGTAAGACTGTCCAACCATTCAAGACTTATTTTATTTTATTATTTTATTATTATCTTTATTATTACACTTATTACTTTACTCTATTATTATTATTACATGTATTGTTTTACTCTATTTTATTATTACATGTATTGTTTTACTCTATTTTATTATTACATGTATGAATATTTACATAAAACTAAGACTGTCCAACCATTCAAGACTGATTTATTTTTATTATTATATTATTATATTATTACACTTATTACTTTACTCTATTATTATTATTACATTTATTGTTTTACTCTATTTTATTATTACGTGTATGAATATTTACATAAAACTAAGGTAAGGCTGTCCAACCATTCAAGACTGATTTATTTTTTATTATTTTATTTTTATTATTTTATTTTGTATTATTTTATTATTATATTTATTATTTTACTCTATTATTACACTTATTACTTTACTCTATTATTACATTTATTGTTTTACTCTATTTTATTATTACATGTATGAATATTTACATAAAACTAAGGTAAGGCTGTCCAACCATTCAAGACTGATTTCTTTATTATTATTTTATTTTGTATTATTTTATTATATTTATTATTTTACTCTATTATTACACTTATTACTTTACTCTATTTTATTATTACATGTATGAATACATAAAACTAAGGTAAGACTGTCCAACCATTCAAGACTTATTTTATTTTATTATTTTATTATTATCTTTATTATTACACTTATTACTTTACTCTATTATTATTATTACATGTATTGTTTTACTCTATTTTATTATTACATGTATTGTTTTACTCTATTTTATTATTACATGTATGTATATTTACATAAAACTAAGACTGTCCAACCATTCAAGACTGATTTATTTTTATTATTATATTATTATATTATTACACTTATTACTTTACTCTATTATTATTATTACATTTATTGTTTTACTCTATTTTATTATTACGTGTATGAATATTTACATAAAACTAAGGTAAGGCTGTCCAACCATTCAAGACTGATTTATTTTTTATTATTTTATTTTTATTATTTTATTTTGTATTATTTTATTATTATATTTATTATTTTACTCTATTATTACACTTATTACTTTACTCTATTATTACATTTATTGTTTTACTCTATTTTATTATTACATGTATGAATATTTACATAAAACTAAGGTAAGGCTGTCCAACCATTCAAGACTGATTTCTTTTTTATTATTTTGTATTTTTTATTATATTTATTATTTTACTCTATTATTACACTTATTACTTTACTCTATTTTATTATTACATGTATGAATACATAAAACTAAGGTAAGACTGTCCAACCATTCAAGACTTATTTTATTTTATTATTTTATTATTATCTTTATTATTACACTTATTACTTTACTCTATTATTATTATTACATTTATTGTTTTACTCTATTTTATTATTACATGTATGAATATTTACATAAAACTAAGGTAAGGCTGTCCAACCATTCAAGACTGATTTCTTTTTTATTATTTTATTTTGTATTATTTTATTATTATATTTATTATTTTACTCTATTATTACACTTATTACTTTACTCTATTATTACATGTATTGTTTTACTCTATTTTTATTATTACATTTATTGTTTTACTCTATTTTATTATTACATGTATTGTTTTACTCTATTATTATTACATTTATTATTCTTACCTTCTTCAATGTAAATGTGCTTACGTATCCTTCCAATATGGAAAACACAAGAATGGCCATCAGACTGGAAAAAATCAACTTCTATCCCCATACCAAAAAAGGGAAATGCGAAAGACTGCTCAAACTTCCGTACAGTGGCCCTTATTTCTCATGCCAGTAAGGTAATGCTCAAGATCCTGCAAGGAAGACTCCAGCAATACATGGAGCGAGAGTTGCCAGATGTTCAAGCTGGGTTTAGAAAAGGCAGAGGAACGAGAGACCAGATTGCCAATATACGCTGGATAATGGAGAAAGGCAGGGAGTTTCAGAAAAACATCTACTTCTGCTTCATTGACTATTCTAAAGCCTTTGACTGTGTGGATCATAATAAATTGTGGCAAGTTCTTGGTGGGATGGGCATCCCAAGCCCCCTTCCCTCTCTCCTGAGGAATCTGTACAAGGACCAAGGAGCCACAGTCAGAACTGACCACGGAACAGGAGACTGGTTCAAGATTGGGAAAGGCGTCCGGCAAGGCTGCATCCTCTCACCCAACCTTTTGAACTTGTATGCAGAACACATCATGCGATGTGCGGGGCTGGATGAATGCAAAGCTGGGGTGAAAATTGCTGGAAGAAACATTAACAACCTCAGATATGCAGATGACACCACTCTGATGGCCGAAAGCGAGGAGGAGCTGAGGAGCCTTCTAATCAAGGTGAAAGAAGAAAGCGCAAAAGCCGGGTTGCAGCTAAACATAAAAAAAACCAAGATTATGGCAACAAGAATGATTGACAACTGGAAAATAGAGGGAGAAAATGTGGAGGCCGTGACAGACTTTGTATTTCTAGGTGCAAATATTACTGCAGATGCAGACTGTGGCCAGGAAATCAGAAGACGCATCCTTCTTGGGAGGAGAGCAATGACCAATCTTGATAAAATAGTAAAGAGTAGAGACATCAGACTGGCAACAAAGATCCGCCTAGTCAAAGCCATGGTATTCCCTGAGTAACCTAAGGATGTGAGAGCTGGACCTTAGGGAAGGCTGAGCGAAGGAAGAGAGATGCTTTTGAGCTGTGGTGTTGGAGGAAAGTCTGAGAGTGCCTTGGACTGCGAGAAGATCCAACCAGTCCATCCTCCAGGAAAGAAAGCCCGACTGATCATTGGAGGGAAGGAGATGAGAGACAAAGCTGAAGTCCTTTGGCCACATCATGAGGAGACAGCAAAGCCTAGAGAAGACAATTATGCTGGGGAAAGTGGAAGGCAAAAGGAAGAGGGGCCAACCAAGGGCAAGATGGATGGATGGCATCCTTGAAGTGACTGGACTGACCTTGAGGGAGCTGGGGGTGGTAACGGCCGACAGGGAGCTCTGGCGTAGGCTGGTCCATGAGGTCACGAAGAGTCGGAGACGACTGAACGAATGAACAACAACAACAAGCCCACAGTACAACAACATCCTTCCATAATAATGGAGTAAAACAATAAATGTAATAATAATAGAATAAAATAAATAAATGTAATAATAGAGTAAAATAATAATGTAATAATAATAGAATAAAATAATAAATGTAAAATAGATAATAATAAAGTAAT